ATTACTATTTCAAAGCTTATACAATGACAGAAGAAAACGTAAGAGAACATTTTTTTTATCATAAAATGGCAGACAAAGAATTTTCTAGCGGGGATAGGGCTAAAATCATTTCCGTTTTATTATCACTGTTTAATGTATAGGAAGTGACTTTGGTCAACAAAAGACATACATGTAAGATTGAATGGTAGACTTTTTGACAGACAAGAATTTAAACATTCAATCTTTTGTTACTATCAAATAGAATTTATGCATTTGTTCAAATAAAAACTAATTTTTTTTTCCCTTACAACTAAACAAATGTGAAATCATGAAGTATAATCAAATATAACCTTTAAATATTTGATTATCTATAAATTTTCTTGATAAGACTGAAAGTAATATAGCAAAATGTTTGCTCTTACATCATTAGAGAATTTTGAAAAAAAAAAAAAGTATGTTCTATCTTTGGAAAATTATATTTAGTAATGTTTAGCATAAAAATAAAAATTGAAAACCATTTACTATATTTATTTGATAAAAATTCCGATTCGTAAAAAAAGTTATAGTAGATTTGACATGAGTTTAATGTCTATGCTGACAATCTATTTTAGCAATCATTTATAGCGATAAATTAGATAAATTGTTTATTATAATTAGAAAACTTCTTATGAAAGAAAAAGCATGACAGATGGTTTATATGTCTATTTGTCGAAAGACAGATATTTTATTGTTAGATGAATCCTTGAAAAATGTCATATAATAAATGAAAATATGTGCAAAAGTTTACAATTTTGTTTTTCGATAACGTAAATATTGTTGATATAATTTGGTTTTATGATAAGATTAAAAAGCACAGTTTAACCAATAGTTTTCAATGGCAAAATATTAAAATCAGCATTGATTCAATTCAATGTTTTATTTAGACTTTCTCTTTCGAAAGGTTGAACACCTTTTTTTTTTGAAAGCATATAGGGCGTTATATAATAGTAAGAAACTCCGAAAGGGTCAACCCGATCTTTGGAGAGGCGCCACTCTCTCAATCATCAAGCTGAATAATGCATTGTACTTTGGTCGTTTATAACATAGATAAATTCAATTCATTTTATAGCAAGAACATTATCAAATGAAGTCAGATATTTATAAAATATTCCTATTTATGCATATTTGTTTAAGCAAATATCCTCAACAAGAAAGAAGAATGAAAAGTTAACATTCCTCTTCATCATAATTGTTTGTGTTTATAAAACTTAAAATCTATTGCAATTGACAAATCTTTATTATCATCAACAACGTGATTTCTATCTGATTTAATAATCAGACAACTCTTATATTTATCAACAGTTGTTATTATCTCGTTCCTTTCTTTGCAGTTGTTTATAAATATATTTATATTAATTTTTTTAATCTGTTTGACTATTAGCCGAAAGTATTGCAATGACATTAAATATATTTATTTATAGACTCTACTTTTTTTTTCTGTCTGACGATTATATATATATCATTTATGAGAACAACTAATTGGCACGCAGCAAAAAAAAATATTGCGTCAATTAGTTTGACTGGTCAAAGCACACATCATAATGTTAAGAAAATGATGATTATACGTGATATATTATAATTATAACTTACCTATACTTGTATTTAACTATGGAATTATTATTTCTATTTCTAGATAAGAATCATCTTGACACGATCGTATTAAGTATTTGTTACATAAGATTCAATTTGAAACGTTTTAATTTTATTCTAAAATTATATACTGTAGATTAAGAAGTTCGATAGGGAAAAATATTAGTTAAAATAATCGATGTATTATATCTTGTTCTTACCAATTATACAACAAAATTGATTATCCAAATGATAGAAAATTGACCATGAACGTCTTTAAACATTATAATTTATAATAGAAGAATATGGAATCATACGATCATATCTGAATTGTATACATATCAAAATATTAGCCACTGAGCATAGTATTATTAGTTTATTTGACTGATTTATAACACGAATATTCACTTTGCAAGAAATATTAAATACTATCTATCAAAATAGCTTTCTAATCCTAATCTTTTTTTTTTTAAATGGTCGATCGTTTTCGTAAAAATGAAGCGGTACTATGATAAAACATTGTCGAAGAAAAGCAACATGTTAGTGCACTTTAATAGCCGATGCTCACAAACTTTGAATGTCTATGACATGGAAAAACAATTTCATGTCCAAATCTAAATAAATGCGAAGACTGAATTAAATAAATACTTAAATGTACAGTTAATACACAGTTCGAGCACGTCATTCCCAACGTTCTCCAATGAAAATAATAGACAAACAATGAATGAATGAATAATATTGTATAGCTATTTTATTTGCACAATTATTTGCTTCATTCATCTCACTGACTCTCTGAAGCACCAAAACATCTTATTTTCTTTACATTTCCAAACAAAAGCTTCAATAAACACATATAATAATATTCATTAACATAAACTCTTGCTTGTTAGTTGGTATTACTGAAGAACCAAGACAAATAGTCTAAAGACAAAGAAAAACTTAACAGAGATATACAATATAAAACTCATATAACTGTGGCAGTTTATAAACGTTGTAACTTTTATTCTAGGTACGTCATGTTTCGTATACATTGATATTATAGAACGAAGGAGGAAGTCTTTTGAGAATTTTTTATCTAATAACTTATAATGATTGATATTGAATAATCTTTATGCTTTGTCTTTTTTCGATACAGATATGATGACTTTTTTTTTTTTACAAGAATGGATAAGTTTAATGATTTCTTATTGGGAATTATTATTTAACATGATTGAAAGGCTTCTGAATTCGTAAAAATCTAATATTGAAGATAGAAAGATAAAATGAGCTACAACATTTGATTTTTACACTCACTCTAGGTATTTGTCATAGTTGTATGAAACTAGCAAACAACGAAACTTTCACATTAAAACAAAACCTTTCTTAAACAATTAATGATAATAATGCAATTTCATATAATTCAACAAACAAGAATTTTTCACCTTTTTAGCTAGTATGGTCATCATCAGTCTTGAAAACAATAGTTGTGATCTTTGTTTAACTATTCATTACGAAGTAAACTACAAAATAACATAAATCCATGAATACATCAATAGATATAATCTTGATTAAGATAGAATTGTTTGTCTTTTAATAGATAAGTCAGTACATTCAAGTATATAATTCGACGATAACAACAATGAATAAGTTTTTTACAGAAAGAAGTCATGAATACTAGAGAAATCATAAGAAAACCTATACTCACGAATGAAGTCTTTGAAGTTGATAATGACAGTGCTAACTAACAAAGAATCGAAAATTCCTACTTGTAAAATCAATATCAAACTGCATTATTATCATTATATTACTATTATGAAAATCTTTTTGTTATTGAAAATCTGTTTTGATAGTTCTTTTTAATGAAAATATTGATTAAAAAAAATACTAGTCATTGAGAATGTATAAGAGTCAGTTAATGACAATACAAAAAAAACCTAAATTTGAAGTTTTCAGATGGAAAAAAATTAATCTAGATCGAATTTAACTTCTAATACTTGTGGAAGTTTTCACGACAATTATTAATACATTCTAGATGAACTAATACTCTTAGTATACAATGTGAAAGTGTAATGTCAATATTTAAATTTATGATTTTGATAATGTAAAGATATTTATCAGTCGAAAGTTTTCGAACTCATACTTCTAAATCCTTAAACGCATGATAATCAATAAAATCAAGCGAAATAAACTAGTTTGAGTGTCTGAGAAAAAATGATCAAAACCTGACTGGCTATAAAATTTCAATTTTGTAATAAAGTGTACACCTAGATCACAAGAATCTTATTGGTAAATTAAGATCTGTTTTTTCTCTAAGGTAAGAAGTTTATACTGAAGTATATGGAAGAAGAACTTTGACTGAAGATCAATCGCAACAAGAATGTAGAGATAATAACGAATTTGTGTGTTTAAATAATTAAAATTCTAATATTTTATTTTGAGCATATTTGTACTTTATAACAAAATAACTTAACTTTTGAGACACAAAATAAAAATTTGGTGCATCAGCCTACACGTCCAAAAAACTACATCTATTTACATATACTATGATGCTAGTTGGACGAGAAAGAAATATATTATGTCTTTATATATTATAATAAAATGTTTTCAGTGCTACTGACACAATCTCTCGTAAAAAGAAACTTCTGTTCTTAAATAAACGATTACGAAAGTATTATTTTTATTCATTTTTTCAGCGGAAATTCATCATCGATTCTTATCAAAGGTGTTCATGGTGACGATGCCGCCGTAACAACGACGGCGGCAATGACATTGAAGATGCTTCAGAAATATTATTGAAACAGTCTTTCATTTTTATTTGTAAAATTGCATGAATTTGCATCCGATTTCATTGGGAGATTTTCAAAGAAGTTCTCGAACACAATCATGGTACCGAGATGTTTTCAATTATAATGAACATCTATGATTCCTATTGATCATTCTATTTACTATGATCAGTTTTATTAACAGTTACGCAAATAAGTCAAAGTATTAATTTAATTAAATCTGAAACTTTATATACAATCGTTTAACCATATTCAGTATCACCGATAAAACTTTAAAACTGTATGTGTATTATGAATTAGTTAAATTACATTTACCACTTAAATGATGAATCTTTCCTGAATAGAAAATAATAACATATGTTTATCAATTATTCTTCAATAATGTAAGACAATTATTGACTGGTAATAACTGTAAAATAATAGTGATATATTGTTCTCACTAACCTGATATACTTTGCATATTAATCATGTTTGTTTATAAAAGTTTAGAATAAAAGCATCGAAATGATGTATGCAAAAAGAAAATTGAAATGTGTTTTGTATTTTCTATTATTGAATAATTGTCAATTAAATGAATTTTAAAGCATTTTTCTTATTCACAAACTTCTTTTCTTTTTTCTCTCGAAAATATTTCATAAAATAAATTAATTTCTAGGTTATAAAAACTTTATCAAATTGTCGTTTAAAACGACCACGTCGATCAGTTAAAAATTCAATAAGTTCTGGACCATATTGTTCAAATAAAGCCCATTTAGCTTTGTCTTCTGCTGCTTGTCGTCGAGATTGAGCAGTATTTTCACCACCTTCCATTGCTTCCGATAATTGTTGAAAGAAAATACTTGTTCGTGCATCATTTGTAAAATGTAAACCACTTTCATCAAAATGACGTAATGGTCGAAAAGATTCTTCACCTTTTCTTGGTTTATGTAATGTTTGTATATCATCAACATGACATGCAGCATAGACAACAGGTCGTTGCTTTTGTTGTCCAGATGTTTTTGTATCAATTAATTGTTCTTTTCTACGACTAAGAAATTTTTTTACATCATCTACGGTCATTTCTAAATGATTCATTACATTACATAAAACTAATTAGTTTTTTTTTCTAAAAAAAAATATAATAAATACTTTGAAGTAAACGATAGACTTCAACAGCATCACGTTTAGGTGGCATTTTAGTAAATGGATCACGTGGATAATTATCAGGTAAATCCGGTACATAAGGATTTGGTTTGACATGAGTGGAAGTATTCCATCTTTGTATATTTACAAATGTTGATGGTCGGTCACGTTTTGGTATAGTAGATTTATCTGTACGAGATTGATTTATCATATATTCACGAGATATAGCTGGAAGCGTTGTTTGATTTTGTGATTGCTGTTGTTCTTGTTGAACTACAGGAGTCAATGGTTTCGTACCCAAAAAAATAAATAATAAACAGACAAAGAAAAAAAACATGACTATACGTTAGATAATTACTGTCTTGTTCAGTTTTTTGTATTGCAGATCCTGTACCTATATCAACTAACCATTGATCAAATTTTTCCTATATAATATTTAATGAGAATTTCTAAAAATACATACGAAAAAAAAAAGATAGAGCTTATTTACATCACTTTTTTCTTCAAATAAAATGGCATGTTCACGTTTGATTTCAAGTAAAAGATCAGCCATTTTTGCATTACGTGATAAAAGACGTTCTTTGGCTGATAAATGTTTATTTTGATGCCACATAGCAGCTGCAAGTAATTTAGCACATTTTTTATTACCCCATAATTTTGCAAGATCAATAGGTAATTGTTTACGACTATCTTCAGCATATACATCAGCATTATGTGCAAGTAAAAATTCTAAACATTGTACATGACCTTCGGAAGCAGCTTGATGAAGTGGTGTTAATTGATCATCATTAATTCTAATAAAAATAAATTAAGAAAAAAAAAAAACTATAACAACAATGAATTTCATTAAAGATTTTCTTTTTGTTTTGTTTTACTTACATATTTATTTGTGCTCCTTTTTCAACAAGATATTGTAAACATTGAAATGAACGTGTACCAGTTTCTTTTGATATACATAAATGAATTGGACGCCAACCTGTTGAACTTGGTAAATCAATATCAATATGAACTGTTTCAACAAGATACGATAAACAATTAAGTCGACCATGTAAAGCAGCAAGATGAATAGGAGCAAGACCCTAATATAAATCGATAAAAATTAATTATCAAAAAAAATCATTTTCTTTTTTGAAAATTTTACATCTTTTCCATAAGTTTGTTCAACACTTGTTGCTTCACCACTTCCAATAGGTCCATCTCTTATACTTTGTTTAAGCCATTGTAAATCTCCAATAGCTGCTGCCATACAACTATCACTAACAGCTCGATTCTTAGCATCAACAGCTGATTTTGATGAACGTGATGATGGAGTACGTTCAGCAGGTGGTCGACGTTGTTGTGATTTTGATGTGGATGAATGAAATTGTGAATTTGCAGAAACAATAAATGGTTGTGCATTTGGCTCAAGACGAGTATTACGATGTAAACGAATGTTTGATATGGTCTCGTCTGACAACATACTTTTTTTTGCTTCCTTCTGCAAAAAAAACAACACTCTAATAAAGAACTCAGTTGTCAAGTCTTTTATAATGATTTGGAGACTCATATTATTGAAATTTCAAGTAAAATTATTGCTGTAGGCAAATGGAATGTGTCAATTCTATTTTGATTATATCAAAAATTTGAAATAAAAAAAAAACAAGCAAAAGTTTCAATTCCTATAAAAATAAAAAACAATCAAGGACAATCATTTTGATAAAAAGAAAATATATAACAATTATGAATTGAACTGAAAATGATTAAGATTTTTTCAAAATAACTAGAATTTTTTTTTTCTAACGCTAACGGAGCAGTAATAGAAGGCATAACAAGTCCATTTATTCACACATACAAGTATATGTATATACGCATACCATTAATATGCTCTCAGTATACAAAACTTGACAATGAATATCAGAATATTATTGAAACAAATATTATGGAAGTACGCTTATAATTTTTAATATATAATTATAATTTTAAATTTTTTATAAGTTGAAATGTTTTCTGATTTTCTACATATAAAAATTTCTATCTATTATTTTTTATTTAGAATTATTTCAAAAAGAAAAGAAGCAAATACTCCATAGCTTTGGTTCTTAATCATAAAAGATATGATTCAATCATTTAGAGTCTCCAGTTACAAACGTTGAAATCACGTTCTTGTACCAATTAAAAAAAAAGACTATCTTTCTTTTATTCTGAATACATGGCATATATATATATATATACATATGCTAGCATTATTACCTACTGTGCGTTTATTGTCGTTCTCTCCTTTCTTTCTGTTGCGTTTGCTTAATGCTTACCAACGGCACCCGTTCAACACAAACACAGCTTCACACGATGATGCCAAGAAAAAAAAATGTTGCTTTCCTTCTTCTTTTTTTCTTTTTGCTTTCAAGTTGTTTTCACTATGGTTGCAATGAATATTACCTGATGTTGCTCTTGTTTCGAAAGCATCCAATCATATACAATAGTTTTCTATTATAGTGAATTCAATTAAATTATTAAGTATATATCGATTTTGATAAATTACAGAACGAAAAATTTTTTTCACAGAACATAATGATAAAATCCTTTTGTATTTTCACATTCAGACATCGATGTGACGTCAAATTAGGCATACGTACAAATGCATTCATGAGAGAAAGATAAAAGACCGAGAAATATAGAGGAAAACACAATGACTTATTCTACGCTTCAAGAATGTCATTTATCACTTTTCTTTCTTCTAATGATTTCGTCAAGTTATACTTATCAATACTCTGTTCTATTGTTCGACAATTATGATCTAAATGGGGATAAAGAAAGTGTAACTTATAATCTTTAAATTTTCTTCATAAATATTCAAATTATATGTGTAAGTTATAATTATACGCAAGAATAAATCGAATGACATTCAACTTGGCATTAAGAAGTTATCCAGATACAGAAAGAGTAATAAATGTCTGTGTTGTATTGTTTATTTTTTTAGGTATGCATAAAATATATTGGCGCCGATTATTACTTCCATCATTAATCCTAACAATTTTACCATTGTTTTTTCTTGTTTTTACTACAAAATGTCAGACTACACGAGGAAATTCTGTTTCGATTATTTATGATAAACGAAAAAGTTTTTTTGACTCATCATCAACTATTCCTATTCAATCATCCTCAGTTCCATCACGTTATTTAGTAGTACCTTATCAAGAATTTGTTTTACGTACATCTATGGCATGCCGAGTGTTTAATCTTGATAATCCAACAAAAAATGCAAATAAATTTCATCCAAAATATTCGAAATATTTACGTGGTCCATTTCCTTATGTTTTACCATATACAAACATAACGTATAATGATATAGAAAATTTTTATACAAAAATTTTAGTTAACAAAAAAAAAGATACTGAAACAATTGAAACATCATTTGCAAATAATATTACATTTGAAAATATTCCTTACATATATCAAAAAGGTATGTGGCATCCTGTTGGAATAACATCAGCTCAACGTACAGCTATATTAGTACCATTACAAGGTCGAGAATATAATGCTAAGACATTTCTATTCAATATGCATGCATTTGCTAGACGACAACAACTTACGTATACAATAATACTTGTTGAACAGGTAAAAAAATAATATACGGAAAACAATAGATTTAATTTTCATAATGAGCAATTAGAATTGATTTTTATTTTTTAATGTGGTTTAGAGAATACAACATGATTTTCTTTTAGATTTAATGCATATATATTCGTTAGCGATGTAATTTCGTAAAATAAAAACGGCTATACCTTTGGATTCTAAGCATTATTTTAGCTAATTTTTATGTATCACATGTATATTGAATGGCTCTGGAATCACTTGAAAAACTCATTCGTACAGAAAATTTTGTTCTATTGAGATATTATTACGTTGAAGATTTCGTGATGGTAGCGAATCGTCTATAACTAATTAAGTTCAATTAGCTGTGAGCAAAGAGAAGTAATATTTTTACATATGTTCATAACAAAAGAACTTATTCAACAAAAACAAAACTATTAGCATAATCCCTGTGGGATCAAAATGTATAAACAGAATGCAGTTGTGGTTGATAAGTCACAAGGAGATTGTTTTATTCTATCTATTTTCGAACACATTTCTTCACCATCCTTTTACTTAATTCTTCAGAAATGTAATCAGGTACGAGTTCATATAGTCTAACAAGTCATTATTGATATACGTCTTTGATCATATATCAACAATGTCTGTCATATCTGTAATGAATGGTTGCTAACATGTTTGTCACGTTTGTGTGGGATCGAAATTTTTAATTCTATACTTCTTTTGCCTCGTGTTTCACTGAAGGTTCATTATGAAATCGAAGATTATCATACTCTGCTGTTTTGACTGATTTTGAAAATATATGAAATAAAAAATCAGAGTGCATTTTTATCCTTAGTGCGTATTTTTTACTTCCTTTACTTTGATACATAAGCACATGATTAGTAAACGATTAGCTTTTTTCAGACTTATTATTTTACAGTAAATATTTTCAACTCTGTACATGTATGCAAACAGATAGTTTTTCACCATGAATATTCTTATCGAATTGTGGCCGTTGCATACATTTATCTAATTCATTAGAAAAATCAAGTTATTTACATATGAATAATGCTAAGAAGTATTTTAGTATCTTTTGAATTATTAGTATCAATTTTACTTTTAACAGAGATGAGTAAAGGACTAGTCATTTCTCTAATCATGACAGCACGTTTTTGCCTAGTCTTATTGTAACAGGTTCTTATATCGCTCTAACAAATAATATCAGAATCAATGAAAAAAAAAAATAATCAAAGCACGTATCAATTGAATTAAAATCTGCAACTAGTATAGCTCATTAATCGAAGAAATAAAAACAGGATCTCATCTTGTGCCAAAAAAGTAATTTTTTCGTAGCATGGAAATTGATCACATTGAATTTTGTCTATTTTGACAAGTAAAGATAGATATGTGCTATAACCTTTCTATTGGAGAGCTTTTCATACTACAACTTACAATATTTGTTGCTTTTCTTTTAATAAAACGTATTAGATGATTAAAAAATAGAATATAAAACGTAACTATTTATTCTGGCCTACTCATTATAAGGAAAAAGATTCATTTTAATCATGGATAGGTAATCAGAATACTTTATATTTTCATATATACTTTTATGCTTTAATAGAATCTTATACTCTCAGTAGAAAAAGGTACAAATATTTATTCTTCACAGAGGTACTTGATAAACCCATTGATATGAAGCAACCAAATTTCTACATTGAATACGATGAAATGTATGAAAAGCATGGATTCATTGAATATGTTGACAAGATTTCAGATTAGTCAACTGGTTTTTCTTTGATTAGTTTCAGTTATATGCGGAACGTATAACGTGCCGCTCTGCTATTTAAACAGTTTAAAATGACACCATATGATAGTACGCTTTCAGACGTGCCATCGAATATCAAATACTGTCGGATCAAATGTTTGAATCTACCTTTTGTCTCATTTTTTCTCACTTTCTGTTCTGCTTCCTAGTCTATAGGGAATGAACAGGCAAAACAGACTAGATATGATAGATGTAAGTACGTTTTGGACTAGTCCAAACGTAATGGAAGAACATTTCTTGAAAAGGTGGCTGGTCCTATCGGGTATGCAAGACAATTTAGATCACACCTGATGGATAATGTGGGCATTGTTAACTAGTCTTATTGAGTGTCCTGACTTACTTTTTACTTACTTGAAGAATACCGTTCAAACTGATGTTTGAGTTTCATTATTATGATTACTATCTTGTCTTGTGTTGAATAGAGATTAGTGGTGGAACCAGAACACCAGGGCCTCTCTTGCTTTTTTTTTTGTGGACAAAGGGAAGAGGTAGTGACAGGTGGTGCTCTCACTACGTTCACTGTATTATGCAAGACAAAAATCACCAGGAGATTAGTTAACGACGAAACTAGAACACTAACTCCTCTCTTGTTCTGAAAATGGTACGAGAGAATGCTGCTATTCTATTGGTACTGTCTATACTTGATAACACGACGTACGTAGCAAGAGTGCTATCTGCTATTGTCTCTCCTCCTCACTGGAAAAAAACAAAAGGGGCCCTAGTATTCTAGCTTCACAACTAATGAAGATGTGCTAAATCATGTTGTGTCGGTTCCTGTCTAGAGAAAAGTTATCAATAGTTTATTCTTATCGCACCTAACACAATTTTTAGTACTTGTTTTTTTTATTTAGCCGATGATTAGCATTTTGTTGGGTCATCCCTCATCAATGATATCTGGATTGATAGGATTTATAAGATAACTCGCTTAAAAGCATAGAATATTTAACTATTATCTTAAGTTTCGGTTGGAACAACTTTTGTTTTCATAATCGTGGTCTTAGCAACTTCTTTTCTCACGATTCCAATGACTAGAATTGAGACTAAGGCTGGTTCTGCACATCTCTATTGTTAAATTAGTAAAAATTACTATTTTACTTGGGTTAATTTTAATTAAGAAAACGTTATACGAATTTTCATAGCGAGCAATAATAGTTACTTACGAGAGAACTTCTATAGATGTCTCCTTTCAATTTCAATAATTGTTTGCCTATGGATGCTGTATAGTCTTCTAATAGAGCAGCTAAAATCATTTAAGTTGCTATTAAGATTTAGCTGATCTATCGAATTTTGATCTAACACATAGCGTATATAGAGAATTCAACTCGACTAGTTTCCATAATAAAAGTTAGAAGGTTTGAATAAAGTTTTTTCAAAATACGAAGCTACCGAAAGATGCATGTTGCACAAATTATCCATGAAAAAAGATTTACATCTTGAAAGTCTCACATCTTGAAGAGACTTTGTTCAAAACTTTTGCATTTTTTTCTTTATGGAAATTAGTCTAATTGAATTCTCTATATGCGCTAGGTATCAGATCAAAATTCGATAGCTAAGTCAAATCTTAACAGAAACCGAAATTGTTTTAGACTTCTTATTAGAAAATTATCTAGTATCTATAGGCAAAAAACAAACATGGAAATTGGAAGGAGAACATCGTAAGAGAATGTTATGTTGGAAACTTTTTCACTATTATTTTCATAGGTTTCTCCAATGGGTTATCGATTTAATAAAGGTCGATTGTTTAATGCTGCTATTAATTATCTTGAAAAAAAATCTTTGAATATAACATGTCTGGTATTGCATGATGTTGATTTAATACCTGAAGATGATGGAAATCTTTATGCATGTGAAACAAAATATCCAAAACATACAACATCACGTGTTCGAAATCTAGATAGTAAACGAGGTTATATACGATATTATGAATTTTTAATCGGTGGTGTTCTTTTATTAACATTTGATATGTATAAAACATTTAATGGATTTTCAAATTTATATTGGGGTTGGGGTGGAGAAGATGATGATTTGGCATTAAGACTAATTCAACGAAAAATGTGTGTTGTTAGACCAGCATATGAATTAGCTATTTATATTGGTAGAAAAAAAAAATAATAAATATTTTTCAGATCATTCTTTTTTATATGTATTTTTCTGTATAGGATTACCTCATCCACGTGGTCCACGAAATGATGGTCGTTTTAGTTTATTAAAATGGACAACTCTTCGTCTTGATACTGATGGTTATGCACAAATTGAATCATTAACACGCATTATTAATATACGTCAAACATTAACTGTGATTCATATGAAATTAGATGTAAATGTTGATCGAAGCCTTAATAAAAACGTTTCAATGACAAACATATCTTCTTCATTAAATACGATTAGTGCTAATGTGACTTCAATATTTAAAACTATTATAAGAACTACAAGGATTAAAGAATCGTAGTTATAAGTCTTAGCAATGTTTTAAATACATCTAAATAAATGAGTCTTAAGAATTCGTTGTATAATAATTCATTTGCATTTGTTGCCAGTTTCATCTTACATTTCAATAAAATATGTCTTTTATTATTCGACTACTTACTAATCTAAATTGGCTACAATGTTCTTCTTTCTCGTTTTATTATGAAATAATTCATATTATTTTCATAAATCTTGCATGTATTCAATATTCAAATAACTAAAACTGATCTAAATAGATAGTAACATGACTAATGTTTCTTTTTCCTGTTTCAACGAATCATTACAACTTAAACAATAGAGTCAAATACAAATGTTAGAATACAATACACCATCTAACATTCATAGTACTATCTAATATCATTATTCTATTAATAATTTCACATCATCAAAAGCTTGTTTTTTTTTAATCAATCTCACAGACACTTCTTATCAACACTTATGATTAGCATTCTGTACGGATACGACTTTGTGCAACCGGACTCAGACCTGGACCGTTGTATTTAGTATACTTTTTTAATTTCTTTTATAAACAGCAAGAATAACAAAGAGATCATCCTGATTCCCATAAAAAAGTCAGTGAATCAGAACTTAGTTGGTGTCTTTCTGCTTCTAAAGCCCGATTGATCTCGCTAAGTGTATGTTTGTTGGTTACTAATAAAAGACGTTGGAATAAGACACAATAGTGGTATCAAACGTCATGATTTTAGATAACTAGGTAAATGCTTTTTTGATCATGATAATACATGTCACTTTTTTATAACTCATTTTCTGCTCCATGTATTCAATTACTTTGTCATATGATTCATCATCATCATCAATACATGAATTTCAATTAAAAACGAATTCTTTTAGTAAAATATTATCACTTTCCACTTCTACGATCTGTTTGATAAGTAATTACTCGATTGTATTCTGTTATACTTTCACATATCATTTAACATTCCGTTGAAATTTCTTATGCATAAGCATCTAACAAGACCTAACTCATTAAAATCTATCCATAAGTGCTTAAACAAAATTTTTCTATTGGCTCTTCAATGTTATGTCAATTTTTCAGATCTTGTTCCTGTTCTCTGCTCTTCGTTATCCTAAATCTAATTCGTTTGTATTTTGGCATTTAAGTAAACGAATGTGCTAAGCTTCTTGTTTCGCTTGATAAAGAGAGTTTAGTAACAATGAAGAGAAACAAGATACAAAATTTTTTTCCGTTGTGTTAAACCATACGAGTCAGAACAACAGTGCAAGCACAATTGGGAAAATGCCCATGTTGCATCGTTGTTCGTTCTATCACCAGTGTACTGACAGTACATTATCGATCAGAGAACAGTCATCAGTACATCTTGGAAGAGTGACAATCATAGGATAACGACCATTTAATTATCGAACTACTACAGGTTATTATTTAGTTTGAAGCACAAGGACAGTGAAGTAAAATTAAAGTGTTGTCATTTAAGTGGTAGAGCCACCATGACTGAGTAGTATTACTGAATGAAGACATCCAAAGAATCCAACTTCGAATAATGAAAAATGAATCAATCCAAAAACTTCACTTGTCAGATGTCAAGTCAAAAGCGATATGAATAATCTATTTGATAATACCGAAAAATTAGTTAAATTTAATCGAATTTTATCACAGAAGTTACAAATAAAGAATGTACTTAATCCCAACCCAGTAGAGAAGATTTTTCAAAAACGCGTTTAAACACTATACTTTTCAAGATCGTTTTTGTATACCACTTGAGGTTCCCGATTGTTACCCACAAACGACCAATAAACTGCATCATGAAAACGCAAAAAAATTCAACGCGCGCTATTTTCACTCCACCGAAAACGAAACTTTTTCTGGCCATGTAAACGTATACAAAAAAAAGCCTCATTCTCGACAATCTTTCCTAAACGTTAATGGGTCACAATCAGGAACCGCAACTGTGAACCAAACACGTTCCATTAATATAGGCGTGAAAACGCTCACTTTCTGACCCGATCAAATTCTAATCAGTTCAATGTTTATACCACTTAAACCTGTCACGCCTTGATTTTCCACGCGTTTTCCCTAGCAATCGGGAACAGCGACTGTCGAATAACATTCACTGATACAAGCTTCCGTACAAACGCTAATTTTCAACCACCACTCAATATACCATCACTCAGAAGTGTGAACCACACGCATGCCGAACTCGAGTTCATGTCCCCTACAAATCTCAGCGTCCCAAACAAACCACTACCCAGATCGAACATTACGATGACCAGAAACGGCTGCACACTTAACCATCGACATAAAAAATGTCCGAAAAATTTCACGCTCAGATTCCACTATGCAACATACGGCTGACAAAGACACCACAGCATTATCAAAATAAAACTGTCTGACTTTCAACGACTTTTCAGCCGTCCTATAGTCGGATCCAGTGGCCATGATCCGGCCAATCCGATGGCTGTTGAAGAAACTCTGTCAACTCATGCATGAGTTGCCTCCCAGCCCTTCATGCAGTAATCGAACTGCGCGTTTTCATTGGTCAATACAAAAGGTCCAATCAAATTTCAGGGGGACTTTTCTCTCTTATTATAAGGACATGTACAAGTCATGCTCGAATCGATCCTAGGGTTCTTGGGGACGCTCTATCGATTGATGGGTATATGTGTGAGACCCCTCCGAGTCCTTCATGCAGTAATCGAATCCTGGGCCTTCATAGATCAATAAAAAGGACTAATCGACATTTCAGGAGGACTTTTCTCGCTTATTATAAGGGCATGTACTGGTCATGCTCGGGCCAATCCTAGGATTCTTGGGGACACTCTATCGATTGATGAGTATATGTGTGGGTCTCTGTCTTGCCCATGAGTGAAAACTTGAGATGTGTAGCAGAAGGAAGAACAAATGAGATGTACCTACGCTGTGATTTTGTTCGATGGTAGATAGGAGTCATCAGTTTTGCAAGAATATTTATACTGATGTGTGAGGCGAAACAAAACGGTGAATGATGAGTGACGATCTGTGGAACCCGATTGGACCGTTTTTGATCAATCAGATTTCGGGAGGACTTTTCTCTCTTATTATACAGACATGTACTACCCAAGCAGGCAAACATTTTCAAAAACGCGTTTAAACGCATAAAGAAGGGCTTAAAATCCATAAAAAGTGGACGTGTTTGGTTCACAATCGCGGTTCCCGACTATCAGCGAAAAAACGACCACTTTTTGCCCTTTTTGTGCGTTTAAACGCGTTTTCAGCAAAAACACGCTTGTAAACTCGTATAAACGCATAAACAGAACATAAAAAGTAGTTATCTTTTTCCTTTTCGTGAACTGTGATTGTGATTTATGAGTATGAAAAAGATGACAACTTTTTATGATCGTCTTATGCGTTTATCACCGTTTTTTGCTGAAAACGCGTTTAAACGCACAAAAAGGGCAAAAAGTGGTCGTTTTTCGCTGACAGTCGGGAACTGAGATTGTGAGCCAAACACGTCCACTTTTTATGGATTTTAAGCCCGTTTTCATGCGTTTAAACGCATTTTTGAAAATGTTTGTCTGCTTGGGTAGCTATGTTCTGGTCAATCCTAGGGTTCTTGGGGACGCTCTATCGATTGATGGGTATATGTGTGGGTTCCTGCCTTGCCTATGAGTATAAAGTTGAGATGTGTAGCAGAAAGGAAGGGCAAATGAGAAGTACTTAGCCTATGTGTTTGTATTCGATTGTAGGGAAGTGTCATGATTTTCGCAGGGGTATTTATCACAACGAGATAGGCGAAACAAAACGGTGAATGAGTAGTGACCATATGTGCAACTCGATTGGTCAAATTTTGACCAATCAAATTTCGGGAAGACTTTTCTCCCTTATTATAAAGATATGTATTAGTCATGTTTGGGCCAATCCTAGGGTTGTTGGGAACGCTCTATCGATTGATGGGTATATGTGCGGGTTCCTGCCTTGTCCTGTAACGAGATATAGAATTCAGGGGTTGAATCGGTGAAATGGAGTTGAGCACAGACGTGGCCACAGTGGAACTTTTCTTTTTTTTCCGGTTATGTTGGCATGATGTTTTAGTCTGTTACAAAGCATTCGTATGGATGTTGTGAAGGTTCCTTTTATCGGAGTCTCTGGTTGTTTGTGTAACTGTGACATGATGTTCGGTCATGTGATTTGTGAGTTCTAATTTATTGAGTAGTTGTCAGAGGACGTTGCTTTTGGTTAATGAGCAGAAAGAATCACTGTTTTGATTTTGCCTTTGCCTTTTGGCGGTACATGCATTGTCTAGTATACTGTTGTTGCCGATTGCCGGATACGGCATTCACTAACATCTGAGGTGGATGTGGGTAGGGTTTTGGTTGTGTATTGGGTTTTTCTGTTTACTCATATCCACAGCCCACACTCACACCCGGAAACACAATATTTTGGTTATTTAAACACATCAGTATTTCTTCAGCTTTTAATCTGTAGGAATTTATTGGTTTACCGTATGGAAGCGCATTCAAATAATGCTGATATGATATTGTAAGCGTGCAAACGTTTATAAATATACAGAACTAATCGAAATGAAAATTTTGGTGTTGAATAGCCATAGTATTCTTTAATTTTTTTGAGTTATTAAGGTATCTTTCTACATATAGAAAAACTAAGAAAAAATTGCAGATTCACACGCTAAAAAATATTATTTTATATAAAATTTAACGTCTATGATTCAACGTTCCGTACACTGAAAGAAAATTGTTAATGAGAAACGTCTAAAACTATGGAATTTCTATGCAAAAAGCGCATGCCATACAAAATAAGCGTTAAAACGCATTGGATGTAGCTTTTTCAATCGTTTATTAGGATACATAAAACGGCTGTAGATATTTTGATAGTTTTCATTTACTTAAAAATAAAATAGTTGACGTTTACATGACCAGTTTTTTAGAAACGCCCAAAAACGCCTACTAATTGAGTTTTTAGGTGTTTAAACGCGTTTTTGAAAAATTTTGTCTGACCGGGTATACTCAATCATTTATCGATGTACACCCTGCACATACATTGGGAATTCTTTCAAGTGGATAGTATCGAAATTGGTAAAATAAATTTCTCTATTTTATTGAATATATTCATCATTCTTTTCATTCAGTTATGGTGATTTAATTCCACTCGTATGCCTTTTCATTTCTTCTTCTTCTTAAGTTTTTTTCTAATTTTTTAGAATATAGCAGCAAGTAAAGGTTTAATCGAATTTACAATCAATGATCAAATTGATTGTGAAGAAATGGAAATAGAATATCATTCAAAATATCATCCAATTATAACAAATATTTTGATTCATCAAGTTTATGATAGTATCAATAAATGTATGATTACATTGCGGCAAGCTATCGATAATGATTAGCTTGATATAGAATTATTTGTTTACTCATGTTCAAATATATCAATGTCAATATATGAAGCTTTTTATTGTGGCTTAATAATTGGCAAATTACATACAAATATAATTGAACAAGAACCTTCTAAACAAATAATAAATATCGATGAAAAATATGATTTTGACTATGAGATATTATTTTCATTATTACAAACTATTGTTAATAATTTAAATGAATTTATAAATACAATAAATATTATTGATGTATGTCAATTAACATCAAATGGATATATTCAACATAAAAAAACAAAAAAATGCTACTTATTAACACAAGCAATCGAACTTGGTCTAGTTGCATTTCAAGATAGTTCACAAATAACTCCATTCGACAACTCAAAAGATAAATGATAAACAAGACTTGATTCTTATTTGTCTATCTTCTTTCATTCGCCATTTAGTTTTGTGTTATTTTTTCAAACCAATCTTTAGATGAGAAAATAGAAATAATTAAACAAAACGAAAATATCAATTGTGACTACAAACCATTGATGTTCATCGTGGTTGGAAATCTATCTCTGTGATAATCGTAATCCTAGAAATGACAAGACAACTGCACTACAGTGAGTTTTAAAAGGAAATGTCACTGATACCGTCGTCATGGGCATCGCTGCTATGGACTCAACAACGAGCCAAAAATAAAACTGAATGAATCATCATTAGCCAGAATATATTTCAGACAATTTTTTGAAATTTTGATTTGATTCTTTGTTTTTATCCAATGCTAAATTCTATAATCTTGTTTGTGATGTAATCTAATTTTATTATTTTTAGTAATCGACACTGCGTCAACAATACAATATTATTGAAATTGGTTATCATTTATCTTGATAAAGATCTTATCTTACTAAGACTCTATAATATAGAAGACAAACTCATTATACTATGTCGATGAAATACGATGAACAATTATTAATTATAGCAATAAAACATTATTATTCGACAGTTTAACAAAAATTAATTGATAAGTGCAGAGATTCGTGTAGATAACTTAATGTCTCAGCTATAGAAATTTTACAGAAACCTATACTTTGTTTGTTTTCTGTCTTGTCTATAACTGAGACTTGCATCATCTTTAAAGAAGCTGTAAAATTTCTCTATCAAGAAAAAATTCATTTGAATTTCTATGAATCCGATATATATCTAATCAGTGGGTGTTCACTGCGCTTGATATGTTTCACGTTAAAAATATATAACCATTAACTGTTGAAGACTTATTCGTATTTCTATTTTAATCGAACTTTTAGAACACCCTGCACGATACGACACATATTCATCAAATAGCATTAATCATCATTAAAATCAGAGTGAGGGAAAGATTAAGTTGTCAAAGATATCATTATGACCTTAAAAAAACATGGTGTTGTTGAGATAAACTTCAGAAGGTTCCATTACATATTAAATTTTTTTCATTAATAGACTGCTCCTATGTGAATTTGATCTTGTAGATGTTGGAAATATTTTATTCAAAATTCTTATTGAGCATCATGCGATGTATTATTTCCCAGCAAAATGCTACACATACATAAACATTATGTTGTGTTTAATATAGACATCACAGTAATATCTTAATTTATAATTAAAACAAATTCTGTTGAGTTTATTATATGATCAATGATGTTCTATGCAAAACAGATGAAGGTTTTCTCATACTATTCTAATGATTTTTCAGTAACAACTGAACCAGATGGTGACTAGTAGAAGAGGGGCTCAGTCCTTCAAGAAACGTCCAAATATTTCTTATAAAGAAGTTAAATCGCGTTGAATAACTTTTAGATCTACGGCATGTGAATACCGTAGAATCCGAACAATTCAAGAAAAATCAAGGATTCCAATGAACTAAATAGTGCTAAATAATTTGTGTATATAAGTCTGAGCATCGATGATTTTTCTTCTCTCCTCCTCTGCTACTGATACCCTCCGTGGTAGTCAGAAAGTGTAGATATCTAAGTTATTGATATCTATTCAATTGCTTGAATTCTATCATTCTTCTTGCATTTTTAATTTCTAAATCGTGTGTATTGTTGAACAATGAGAAAAAGTATCAATGGAAACGAAGTTAGACAACTTTTTTTGGTCAAAAGGGCGATATTTGTTGTTTTGATTGGAAAAGATCATGTTCGTTTATTTTCAAAGATCTTGGAAAGATGACAAATATTCTGGACCTTACTTTTTTTCGTTTCACATGATAATTAAAGCGAGAATAGAAAAAAAATCTAGTCGTCTCTTTCTTCGAACAAGTGATTTCAATCATTCTGATTCTCTGATATTTGGTGTTCTTTCATCAGCGTGCCGAAAACTGGAACAACTAAGATTATTTGCCACAAGCAGAAAAAATGAGAGGAATTTTCAGAAAATCAGGTACAGCTGCAACGCATGCCCTCGATCAAATCTGAAAAAGCGAGAATGTACAGTCGACAAAATATTTGACAGTCATATATAATTGAAATCGTACGGAATTGCATAGTAGACACTAACAGTAAAAACAGTTATTTCAATCGATCCTAAACAAGAATTTTTATGATGATGTTGGAGAAAACTAATCATTAATATATAAAATAATTGAGCGTGTCGATATGGATGAAGAGATAACGTATACTTTCCAAAGATAATAGTGCGCTAAACTTTATTTCCATTACTATTTGCATTTGAAATCAATTAGTCATCTTTTTTTCTTTACTATGCCATCATTCTAATGAAAATTTGACTAATTATGACCTGAACTTATCAATCGTGATATCTTGTCAGTGTAAAAGAATATTAGTAATTAGAAATTTCTGCCTTTAGTATTCATGGTCTATAAATAGTGAATTAGTTCCTTTGATCTATTAGAAATGAGACAGCACCTACAAAAAGAAAACGCCAGTAGTCCGCTTATAAATTCATCAAAACAGTTGTCATTCAACTGATTATTCTATCCAAAGAAAAATATATAAGAAAAAAATATAGAAATGAAGAAACTCATAATAGAGTCTAATTAGTATACTCTTATGACACAAATAGGTCACATACCGATCATTTTCATTTTTTAAGTCTATATGCAACACTACATTCGTTAAAACATCCATTCTAACTGTCTAGAAAGAACTCAATATTGATAATGTCAAGCACCAATTCGACAATATCGTACATTGCTAATCTTCAATATATTTCAGGACAATTGACTTTATACATGTCAGTTGTTATTCTTGGTTCTGGCTTGGTTGGGAATTTGCTCAATTGTTTGGTATTTGCACAAAGATCACTTCGATCACGACCATGTGTGGTCTATTTTCTTGTGGCTAGTATATTGAATTTAATAATTATTTTTTCGGGCGTTGCACCACGTGCATTTCAAAGCTTTTTTATGATTGCGGATCGAACAGAGACAGTATCTGTATTATGTAAACTACGTCTTGTTGTTCTTTTTACAATGCGTACTATTTCATCATGGTTATTAACTCTTGCTAGTGTGGATCGTTATTTAATTTCAAGTCCTAATATCAATCGACGTCGAATGAGCAATTTGAAGAATGATTATCTTTGGATTTTAATTGTTAGTATCATTTCAGCTCTAGTCTGGGCTGAATCTGGCTACTGTTTTGATGCTAATATGATTGGTACACCTCAAAAATGTTATGCCAAATCTGATGCATGCCGTGTTTTTAATGATCTTGCTCAATCACTTATTACAACTATTATTCCATCCACGGCCATGCTGGTTATTGGCTTATTTACTATTAACAATGTTCGAAAAGTCCATAGAATAGGACCTTCTTCAGTTGGTATGAGCTGTAATAATTATGCTAGACGAAATACAAAAGACGAAAGAAGTTTAACTGTAATGTTAATTGCGCAAGTTATTCTTTTGACTATATTTACTTTACCACAAGCAGGACAAAAATTTTATTTGACGTATACATTTTATCAAACAAAATCATCAACTCAACGAGCACTCGAAAGTCTTATTTTTAGCTTTGTTCTTCTTCTTACATATACGCCCAATTGCATACCATTTTATTTGTATACAATAACTGGTACGATATTTCGAGAAACGCTTTTCAAATTATTACAAAATGGAATAAAACACTTGAACTGTTTTCATTAAATAACAATTTTATGCACACATTATCATGGAGTAGCCAAGTTCTATTCCGTGATATTTCTATCACAGTGTGCTCACTTTTTCTTTTCTTTCTTCTTATATGGATTTTTTTCTTTCATACTCTTCTAGTCACCTAGATTTTTCCTTTCGTTTTCATCATTCTTATAGAACTTTTCCTATCTTGTCTATCGTCATGCACATTCTCGTGTTGTTTACATATTATGTACAGAACGTAATTCCACAATAAAAAGCATTTCAACCTGGTATTCATCTTCTTTGTTCTGCAGAGTTAGCCTCCTAAAGGGTTTACATCGTTGATACACATGAGGTTCAACTAAAATAAATGTTGTTCGTACAATTTTTCCGTATTATCATGTATCAAGAAGAAAAGTTGTTGACATCAATGGTTTATGGAACATGATGAATAAGAAAAGATAATAAAAAGTGTTTAGAAGTAAGCACGATCAACTATAAAAGTCAAACTTTTTGAATAGAATTGAGACCCGATGTAACACATCTAATGGCGCAACTGGTAGGCTTTGCTTGAAAAATGGAATTTCAGCGTGACTTTCGTAGCCTTTCTATCCAACTTGTTATAGAAGGACTAAAACAACGAGAAAATCATATTGAATCTTTTGCAATAGATACATATTTCATTTCCGTTGTCTAGAGCCAAGTGTTACATCGGCATCGTTTGGAGTCAAGAAAAGCCTGCCCAGAGTTGTAATCGAATCAGAACTGATTGAAATGGTCGGATTGACCGATTTTTACCGTTTTGAAAATATTTTAAAGATATTTTTTTTTCCTAATAAATTTTGTCGAAAACAAGTTTGCTTGCTCTTATCAAAGTAATGAAACAAATGTTGTTTCAAAAACTATCAATTTTATTTTCTTTTCTTCGTTCATACTGTTTTATTTCTTTCATCACAGTTTATTTAATTTTTTTTACAAAAGTACAATCAAAACTGTATTATTTGAGCTATATTCAAATCATATATGTTTTAGTAAAGATAACATTTAAGTTTGGATCGTCGTGTGAAGAGAGACGTTCATTTTGTCTAAAATGGCTTAGAGAGAAAATTCTAGGTTTGAAGTTTAGCAGTAAGTTGATGGATAGATCACACTTGTTTTCGCACTATATATAGAAACATGACATATTCATTTTTGAGAAGCCCAACAGATATAAATGACAACGATATGATATTTCTTTCCAGAGATTTGTAAAACTTTAAATACAAGAAGGAAAATGAATGTGTTTTGAAGCCATACTCATTAACCAATTAATAATACTTCAATCAACAGTCCAATTTTAACCAATCTAAAATGTATGTTGAGCTGGTTGGATCAGACTAGTTCAAAATTTCTCGACTAGTTACAGCTCTGAGCTGATGCTAGTCATATTAAGATATGTTTCCCATAAAATGATAACTAACCACGCATATTGACTTCTCCATTAGAAGCAAAATCTCGTTGTATTGCTTGGTGTTTTCTCTTCTCTACGGAATCGAATCTACTGTCATATTTGATCCGTAAAAAGTTCTACTTTTATTTTACAATGTCGTGGTAGTTTCTGTTTTTAGTTGATCTCTACCTTACCTTAGCTAAAAATTCATATAGTTTTGATACTTTTTTATAAATAATCGGTCATAATAAAATATTCTTTTCGCATAAACTCATACTTGTCAACGGTACTAGATCAATTCGTCGCACGTCTATTCGTCGCAACCAATTAGTCGCAATCTATTCGTCGCACCATCAATTCGTCGCATATCTATTCGTCGCGATCAATTCATCGCAATGTATTCGTCGCAACTAATTAGCCACAACTTATTCGTTGCAATGAATGACTCTCAAACTTTTTAATTGAATTCTTTCACATTTTTAGTGTTGAAAAATAAAATAAATCACTGGATAACTAAAATGGAATCTCTTCTGTGAATTTCATCTTAAAAAATAACCAGATACCTTGGGTAAATGGATCAATTATATGGACAAGTCTTGAAGTTGACATAATAATACTGAGACAATCATCAAATAATTGGCTTTATTACTGGCAATGAGCTTGTTGTTGGTTTTGACTAATGAGACTATACACCTTTATCTGTTCTGAAATATGCGACGTGAGTATACAAGGGCATGGCCGTTGTGAGAGATAGTATATCTCTGCAAACAACGAAAAATACGTGGCAACTCTTGTTCAAATTTGTCAAATATTCAAAAAGCTCTTTCCGAGAAAGGAAAGCCGATGATAGCTCATGGTGGATTTGTATATACATTAGAACGAACAGCAGAGACAAAACTTATCTTTAGATGTAAAAATCGAAGCAGTTATATAAATGTTGCAACGAATAGGTTGCGACTAATTAGTTGCGATAAATACATTGCGACGAATTGTTTGCGATGAATAGATATGCGACGAATAGATTGCGACTAATTGGTTGCGACGAATTGATCGGTCACCATAGTATATATAGAATCGCTTCTCAGTGTCTTCAAATTGAATTGATTCTCGCTCCACTCTCTTAGTCTGAAGAAAGTCATGTTCAAAGATGAGAGAGGAATATATTATGTCATAATGAAAAAAAAATAATCAGTACGTTGGATGAAAAAGAACGTATCTGAATAACTCAAAATTATTATAGCATTAAACAAGGAAAGAAAAACTACACACAAACAAAATAATTTTGAAGGGAACAGTGCATATCAAATGGTGTGGAAAAAAGAGGAGGTACCTTAAAAAAAGCTTACATTCATGATTTTACACTGATGTTTACAAATTCATCAGATATTCAGTGAATGAAAGACTGATGATTATGTTGATCGAATAGATCTTAACTATTTCCAATAAAATCAATTACGATTAATATAATCACATAAATTTCGGTGACCGATAAATTCGTCGCGAGTCAATTCGTCGCGTTCAATTCGTCGCAATCAATTCGTCGCACAATCAATTAGTCGCACATCAATTCGTCGCAATCTATTCGTCGCATCATTCTCTCATTACATATTTTTTTATGATAGTCAACGGGGAACGCCGATTATTCGAATTAGTTATGTTTAGTAATTTAAAAATACTAAGTAACATGTTTTTCGAGATATTATTTGATGACTGACATGTTGGAGACATATATGTAAAACTTGAAACTTGAATTCAATTGAGTTTTCAAGTTTCAAGTTTCAACTTTCAAGTTTCAACTTTCAACTTTCAGGTTTCAACTTTCAAGTTTCAAGTTTCAAGTTTCAACTTTCAACTTTCAAGTTTCAACTTTCAACTTTCAACTTTCAAGTTTCAACTTTCAAGTTACTACGAAAGGACTGGCCGCAAAAGAACTAGCCGTGAAGGGACTGCTCGCGAAAGGAGTGGCCACAATACGACACACATCACATTGCCGCTGCTGTGGGTGCCGCGAAAGAACTGGCCACAAAAGGACTGACCGCGAAGGAAGCGACCGCGAAAGGAGGTGCCACACTACGACACACATCACATCGCACCTGCTGTGGGTGCCGCGA